TTCGAGCAATTGTTGAAAAAATCAAATTATTCAGAATGAAATTCAGACACCGTTTTATAACAATGAACTCTTCATTATCATATGATTTATAAGTCTAACAAAACACTTTTTAGGTTACGAGGTTTTTCATAAAATTTAATTTATTGACTTCTACTTACTGTTTAAAATCAATTAGTCAATGGCATTTTGACTTCTCTAATAACTACCGTTTTAGATTTTTTTTCTGTCTCTAACTGAATCATAATTATCCTTTGTCATAGGAAAATCTAAAATAAAAAAATGAATCACTCAAAGAACTCTTATTTTTTGGCTAAAAATGTTTTACTCTTCATATTAAACAAGAGTGTAGGACAAATGATCTTTTTTAATAATTGAATGAATAAATAGGTCAGATCAACATGTTGATAAGAATACTCATCTTAAGCTAACAGTGTTTTATTCGAATTTTATGAAAAGACAGTGGAAACTTGAAATTTTCTATTTTGTTATTCTTAGATAATAATTAGTGAGTCTATATGTTGTTATTCCAAAACATGAAGGAAAATAGGACAATTCCGAAAGTTAAATTGCCAATGCATATCGTGGATGAAGCTAAAATCAATCACTTAGATATCGTGTACTTTTTAATGCGTAATTCGCATGCACGAATATTCTTGGCTGGCACTAATCAAACTGTTTATTTTGTACAAAATAACATTTCCTCTTAAATAATCGAAAATCAACATGTATCTTTCTCATATTATCGTCAACTGTTTGTTTAAATTTACTTGTATCTGTCAATGGAATCACAGTAATAGAACAGAAAAAAAGGCTAAACTTAGATTTTTAGTAGTGTTTTGAAACGTTTTCACCAAAAGGGAATGGAAACATGTATCAGTGAGATTTCTAGGTATATTAACGATACACGAACATCAAAGTGTTAAATAAATAGACACCCTCTGGTCTTTGAAAACTCTTATAATCTACTGCTGTCAGACGATTTCAAAGTGACTCATCCGTTCATAATTAAACAGCAGTCAGTCTTTTTTTGGGCTGACAATTCTACGCTATTAATGATGACATACCTTTTATCAGTGAAAAATTCACGGATCTAACAATCAAGGTGACTAGTCAAGTGAACCTAAGAGTAATCAAGATAAATCACGAGCACCTGCCAATTTTCTAAATTAAGCTATATATATATATCATTTAGCGATCAGAAATAATTTGTCCAGTTTTCGCAATTCAACTGTCAATAGATTTGACTAGATTTAACTGGGTAATGTATCATTCATTAAGAATTCCAATAAAATAATAGTCATTCTGAATGATCATTCCCTTTATGATTTCAAGCCTTTGTTTTTCATATCATCTAAATGGCTTAACCTATGAAAGTCTATTCTGAACATGAAGATCCAGAACTGTTTGATGATAAAATCATTCAATTTACCATGAGTGAATTCAAACTAAAAGAAATTGGTAAAGTGTCAACTGGCTGTCTTTTTTAAACATTATCACACTGTTCACTTGGTGATATTAGTTTTATTTCTAATGCTATATATTGGCATTGTTTTTATGCTTAACATAAACTTTTATTCAAAACATTGGTTTATTTTCAGAGTGACATTTAAATTTGGTTTTATTATCAATGTAACATTTTAGTTGATGAAATATTGGTTTTATATTTCCCAATGTAACAGTATTTCAGGTCAATGGTTTTTGTATGAATCTTATTCAGTAAGAAAAAGGTATAATCAATCACTCAGTGTGTCAGTTATATGTATTTTTTTCATTTTTCAAGCGAACTTCGTGTGTATACTGCAGTAACCTCATGATTTTTTCACTTATATGATGTTATTAATTAGTTATCAACTTATTTACTTACGCCACTTACCCCTTGTGGAGGAGCATAGTCCGCTCACCAGCATTCTCCATCCAACTCTGTCCTCAACAATCCCTACCAGTCGTTTCCAGTTGCTATTAAGCCTTTCCATGTTTGCTACCGATTCTCGGTGTAGCGTGTTCTTTGGTCTTCCTCCTTTTTGTTTCCCTTCAGGATTCCAAGTTAGTGCTTACCTCGTGATGCATTTTGATGATTTCCGTAATGTATGTCCTGTCCATCAACTTCATTGTCTTTTCCTAATTTCCTTTTAAACTGGAACCTATTTTGTTCTCTTCCAAAGTAAACTGTTACTGATGCTATCAGGCCAACGAACATTAGGCATCTTGAGTAAACAATTGTCTATAAATATTTACACTTTTTTGATGATGGTTGTAGTAGTTCTCCAAGATTCAGCACCGTACAGTAGAACTGTCTTAACGTTCAAATTGAGGATTCTGATTTTGATGTTGGGTGATGGTTGTTTAGAGTCCCATATGTAGATCTTCCAGGGTTACTGCCGGTCCCGGACCTGAGTAAAGGAGGAGGATTGGGCATGCGGTCAGCAACTCGATCCCGTAGAGAACAATCTTGCTAGAAAAATGCTAACTAGAAAAAATGATTAGTAATCAATTGTGCTCAGAATCAATATATAAACATTTGCATATACTTTTAATTAGGATATGATTTTAAACGACTTGTCTGAGGATTTATTTTGATGATGTGTCTTTGAAGAATCAATAAATCTTCTTTTGAAAGAGTATTATGTTTTCTTACTTTGCGTCATGAAAACTACAGAGACTCACTTTTCCAAGTATAAAAAGTATTGTGGTGTATACAACTTATGTTGACAGACATCAGTAATATTTAACACCGATCAGAAGTGAAATACCTGGAAGCAGAATATTGAAAAGATTGAATTAAAAACAATAAGAATGAAGGAACAATGATGATTGTAAGAGACAAATGATAGAAGATGTACAAATGTACAAGTATTTAATGGATGGTTTCCATATTCTACGAAGACACTGTAATTACAATAAATTGGTCTTCCCCACTTAACTTCGTTCACTACAGTATTACCGTAAATACTACAGAAATGATAAGAACATAGCACTATGTATATAAATATATACATTCATTATATATTTATTTTGTAAAACTTATTTCTCTTAAATGATGATTCTCGTTAACAAAAATATCGGTTGTTTAATGTCTGGAAACTATGTCAACACCAACATACATTTTCTAAAGGCTCAGAATAAAACAACTAAAACTTCTATTTTTACTCATTACCCTATAGATTTTTTTAACAAGGAGAGATTTAACTTATAGTTAAGCATTCTTTTTTTAGAAAAATTATTGCCATCTTAATTTTTTTTTATTTTTCTATTATAAACTTATTACAAGCTGAATGTTGAAACATTTTCTTTTAATGATGATAATGTTAGTGTCATTTTGTCAATAAAACTAAAAATGATGTGAAAAAGAAACCATTTTACAATTCAACTGATACAGTGATACACTTTCTTGATTAAGCTATAATTATAAATAATGATAAGAGAAAGTTAACAACTGAAATTCAGTAGTATATAAAAGTAGTTATATATATATATATATATATGGAGAGAGAGAGAGAGAGAGAAAGTATTTAAAGTCCCATGGGTAAAAAGAATAAGTGATTAATTAACAAATACAATGTATTTAAACAATAGTCAGATCGAGGAATGCATTAACTCAAAATATATTTAACGGTACATGTAAACAATATGTTTTACAGACAATGTTAAATATAAACAAAATTTAAAAGATTTTAGAGAAAGTTTAGTGAAAAGTATTTAAAATTCATGTTTTGGCAGTTGTCCACCATTATAATCTTGAAATCCTTAACCATGATTGTTGCTTACAAACCTGTTAACTAATTCTATTCCAAACAAAGATCATAACAGTGATAAAGAATACTTGATTGTTGGATAAAACAATCTGCTGAACAAAGTGTATGTCTCTTTCAACAAAATAATTCATAAATATCGACAAATAGAGAAATGAATAGATAAATTATTTTAAAACCATTATTTAGAAGTCTTGTTGAATTTTAACGTTTTCATTCGAAGTATAAAGTGAAATTCGTTTATCAACATTAAGCTGAGTTTCTCAACATTCTAAGTTGACACTGTAACATATCAACTTAACTGATATTGTCGATCAGTGGCTAACTTAATTCCAACTTATTTACCTCCCTATATAAAGATATCTTTCAATTCGTACTTCAAAACATCAGTTTCAAAGCTTGAAAGTTCTTAGTTTCACCACTTTTTTGTTCATAGGTGTCCATTGTTGAAGGATCTCAAAGGTAGTGACAAAACGTCCGTTCACAGCTCGCTATTTTCTAATAATTTTCCAAATAATGTCATTTACTGGTAAAACCTGCTTTAAAATGAATTCATCCACCATTAAAATAGTCTTTAGAAATTTTTTAATCAAACTAAGTGTATTGTATGATCAAACAAAAATTTGATAAAATAAGCAAACTATTAGTTGCTATCAAAATCATACGAAACTATTTTAGTTTTTGTCAATCGAAAATACAAAAATAAAAAATAAACGTATGATTCCTAAACATGTGGTAAACTAAAATGTTATGTATACAATGGAATATTGAAAAAAATCCATCACTGAGTAAATGTAATAAAATTCGTATATAATAAACTAACCACTTATATTCTAAAATATATATATATATATCAGCTCCATTCATTTTATGAAACATTTATTAAAAGTATCTATTTTGAATTTTACTAAATGTTAATTCACTTAGTTACAAATATGTGAAACATGGTCTTATGTAATCAAAATATTGGAGGTATCTTTTTAATAACTCATATCAGTGAACTATTAACTGTAATCATACAATACTATCCGTGTAATGTTTAGAAATTCCATACTTACTGACTGATAAATTATTCACATTTTCATTGAATTGGATATTCATTAAATCAAGAATTTGGAGTGTAACTGAAAGAAAACACAATTTGAATAGGGGAAGGTAAGTATGACAAAATGTTTGCATTTACATATAGAGAATCCAAATGATTTCTATCACGTGAACTTTCATAATCTAAATATCTAATTCATCGCCAAGTTATAAATTATTTGCATATTCTGTAAGTTTTTATCTCATTTTTTATATTCTAGTTAATCGTTGATTTTTTTTTCAATCGTCAACAGACTTATACTCAATAAACAGTTCATGAGTGCTAGTATTCATCATGAAAGATTTGAAATAAGCTAGAAAGTCAGACAGTCGATAGCCAGTTAATTGTATTTTTCTTTTGTGATTTTAAAGATTTGTATGTCTTTTGACTAATTGTTTCAGGTTGATTATTGTTAGCCCTACTAGTCTAACAATTATTTTGAGATGAACGATGAGAATATTTATCCAGAAGAATTTTCTTTGACAGTGGACTACATAATCATAATGACAAACAAATACTGCTGGGTACTAGTTCTATATTCGCAGATAAAGACTAGGCTATCCACAGATTTTGTAGGGCCAGTCAATGTTATCAAATATCTGGTTCTCGTTGACGGCTAAAGATTATACTCGTGGTGCCATCAAAAAAAGCTAAAAGCCTTCAATTAATGATAGAGATATTTTTTGAAACTGGATTTCGAATGTCGTAGTGTCACATAACAAGTCTCAGTCAAGTCAGAGTAAATCTCAGTGAACCTGCTATCGACAATCTGCTACACAAACCCATCCAAAGACCCAAACAACTTTGATGTCTGAACCGGATTCGCAGGCAATACGGTATGCAGATTCTATAGGTCTATATAAACGTGGAATTCCTTTGCTATTAAATGAGGAAAGGTGTTCATTATGCTAAATATCAAAATATTGCATAATATAGAAAAAATAAATTTTGAAAATAACATATTATAGAAAGGTGATTTTCGTTCATCTCTATTTAGATTTGAATTGCATCTCTGAAGACATTACGTGTTCACCTAAATCTACGAACGGAACGAAGACACAGTGATATAATGACCAAAAAAGTTAAGTGTCCCGACGCGTTCGAGCCCCGCTAACTAAAGAGAGAAGTCCTGGTTCAGGAGAGTGAAAAATGTATCCAGAAGCAGCCAGAAGCACAAGCAACAACAATCACGACTCAGGCGTATATAGTCAGGATGAAAATGTCCTTGAGAAACGTTACAAAATAGCATATTAGAAGAGACGACGAACCAATAACATTTTAGGTCCACACAAGTGGGATATATGACATGAAGGTGAAAACGAGTGCTTTTAGTGCGAAAACAAGAAGTTCAAATTTCCAAAGTATGATTGCAAAAATAAGACATATACCAAATGAGTTCTGGGGATTTGGCATCCTCAACACATCCACTGATTTTAGTGAATTCTCATGGGTATTAATTTATCCATTATGAAATTAGCCATTTGATTTTTAATGAATTTCTCATTGTATTCATGAGCTCACTGTGACTTTGTGCTCGAGTGATGATTTCTCAGTTTAAAAATTTTGTAATTTGTAATCATGAATCTAATTGATGTATAAGTGAATTAACATGGATATAAGTCAGTTTTCTTTGTTCGTTTCTTATAAGTTTTCCTTACAAGATTTATCTTTTGAAGTATCCAGGAATAAGAGAGAAAAAATCTGTTTTACCCAGTATCGAAATATCATTATAGGTATCACTTATATTTATCATCAAATTTCAATCAATCTTTAGTAGAATTCGAGATATTTTAATTACGTTTGACAAGTCATTTAGTATAAATGAATAATATAAGTTTTGTCACAGAAAACCGATGGGAAATTTAATAACTTAAAGTATGATATGAAACTGCCAGTTATTTTCTAAACATTTTAGAGTCTACATCATACAATTACAATTCTACGTTCATCCGAAAATGTAAAAAAATTCTTAGAAGTAAATAATTAGCATCAGATTCATTACAGAATGTTAATATTACTGATGTTTTATTCCCTGTAACCGCTGGTTAAATCATGAAGCTAACATTTGTTTGTTGACAATATCAAAGGTGCAAACATTTGAAAAAAAGAAGTGAGCTATTCTGATTTATTCATAATTAGTTAATAGACTTTTCTGTATGCTATTAAATGGTATTAGTTATTTTGAATATTCACTTCATTAATGTTTGTGTACGCAGTATGATTATCTTTTTTATTTACCTAAACTTAAATCCTGTTTTTTAATCACTTAATAGATCTACTGATTAATGTAATGATATGTGTATTAAGCTCACAAAACGTCTCTGGTTTTTCTTTTGTTACCAATGTAAAATATTTTACTATTTTTCCAAATTTGCTCAGAAATGTTACTATTACTGAAGGTATTTCTTGATTTTTGACAGCCTAAATAATATATTCTGACAAATGAAAATAAGGAGTGTCCACTTTATTTAATGTAGTATGTCCCTCAGTTTTGATAGTCTGTTTTGTGGGTGATAATCAGTTGGTACCTTTTTGACACTTGACTATTCAGATAATTTTGCAATTTTAGAAGTGATTATATTTTCTCCTGAATTACACCTATTTCTACTGACTTCAATAATCTAGGAGAACAATTTGTTGATTTTCACTTTTACATCTTAACGAAGAATAAATGAATGTTAAATGCTAGTGTAGTGAACTAGAACTATTATTATATATATTCTTATTGAATAACTATTAGCTAAATAGATTATATATATATATATATATTTCTCTTACTATAAGCTTTCATTTGACCTATTTGCTACTATTATACGACTTATTGTTTTTCAGTTATTCTCAGTCTATTAGTTAAATTCTCTCACAGCAACTTTTGGCTTGCTCTTGTGTAATTGTTTTTTATTTTATGGTATGATGCGATCTAGTTTGCTTGTGTATAAACTGCGTATGTCTGAAATACATGATTCATACAGTGGAAGCTGATATGGCTTTCTGGACTCGACAGGCAGGGCTAGGGGAGAAGAACCAATAAGGACCTATAATTGACTCTAAGCTACTCATGTTGGTTGACGCGTCGTTGGTTATGTTCGGGTCTAAGATCGTATGAGTCGATGTTCTGATTGGCGATCTTGTCACGTGATAATTGATGGGCTATAAGACATAACATTCACACTTGGTTTTTTATTTGGTAATATGTCTGATAATTGTTTACTTCTTAATAAACGTATTCGTCAGATTCTTTCTCTAAGATCTTCCCAAGAATAATTGCATTGAAACGTGTTTTAAATGTTCTTAATAACTAACTTTTTATGAAAATTTTATTGTATATAAGACATTATAATTAAGTATTAATAAAAATTCCATTGAAAAATAGCAAGTACATGACCAACTATCTAAGGTACATCTGTACAACGTCTCTGCATAATCTCTTAAAGTTGTAATCAAAATTTTCTGCTTTTATTATCTTTGTTAGTCAGAAAGTAGGTAAAAAATTGAAATCCCTTTCCTGTAGTCTTGGAACTCTGTGTCTTTTTAAAAAAAAAGTATTTTTATTCTTGATATGTCTTTTTGCGAACAACTGATAATAAATGAAAGTTCCTTTAGTTTCATAATTCAAGTCAAACATATATTTACTTGTGTTATGCATATAATTCAGTTAGTACATAAATGAAAATATCAGTTATTTTTATGGATAAGTGGATAATAACAACAATAACAATAATGACTTAACTAACAATAATAAAGCCTAAACGATCGACTTCCTTTCTAGAGGTAACAATGAATCAAACTACTCTGTAATGAATAAAAGTAGATACATATAATAGTCAAAAATAAAATCATAATAACATTTACTGTGTAGTGAATTATTTTTTGATATTATGGTATTTTATGATTATCAATGAAACATTAAACTGCTAATGATATACAGAGAGATGTTTTCCAAGGTATACAGAAACTATATTCTTACTATTCTATTGGTGGTTTTGACATTTAGAACGAAAGACTTTCATCGGCATAAAAAGATATCTTTCGAAACAAAAAGGAAGAAATATTTCAAATATCATGTTTATATTAAATAATATTCGATTGGAAAAATAACGAACTGACAAAGAAAAGAATTCATTAATTGGTTATGTAATGATGAATGACACTTTAAATAAGACAATACTATATTCCATGATTGATTTTTTGTCTCAAAACTCTTTTGATACTTCGAATCACTAAACTGTTGGGCAAAAATGTATGCGTTCTGATTTACACTGTTAGACACAATTCAATTAGTATAGAACTTGTAACAGAAAGCTAATCCTGTACCATTCCTACAGTATGTATCTAGGATGACAAAGACTACTGAACCACAATTCATAAATATCAACAACCGGATAATATAAACCCTTAATACTAAATAACATGTCTACGTCTGGTTTCCAGTATCATTACTATTATTGACAGTTGCTCACATGGAGTTAGCAAGATTAAAAATACTTTGAATATATTGTATGCCATACCAGTTTAAAAGGGACTATTTCACTTTAGACTATTAAGAGGATATTTGATATTTGTATTTTGGTTAACATTGTTCAGTCATACACGCACCATCACTATGTAAGAAAACTAACGACATAAAACCACTCTATGAGTATAATTTCATTGTTATACATCATATGTATTAGTGTACAGCCGTGATGATAAGCTAAATGAAAAGAAATTTCTTCTCTTTATTTATTCCTTTTATTCAAGATTATTGACTGAACAAAACATAAAATGATACATAATGTATTATTACTATTCCGGATGTTGTATAATTAGTGGTAGGGAATAAATCACTCTTCTTCTATAGTCTTGTTTTCTCCTTCGTATCAACAAGAGGTCTTACTGCGTTTTAATCGGTAGCAGGTAGAAGTATTTTATGGTCACACAAAACAGCCGTATCAGCATTTAGTTTACCACACAACACTGACATATCTGTAGTGTTTCATGATACAATACCAACCTTTAACGCCAATATAACTTTCAAAGGAATTAAAGCAGTCTGAAAACTTACCATATAAACTAATTAGACGTAAAGAATTTTTCACCCTAATAAGACAAGGTTACTGTTAATTCTAATTTAATTTAAATTTATAAAATTTGTTTTTTTTATCCTGAAGTTTCTAAAAAATTCTTTCTAGCAATTAAAAAACTCAACTTCAGTAACTGTTTACTATATCACTGAGAAATACGTTTATTATTTAAACCTAAGGGGTAATTTTTCTAACACAATCAAATGTTCTTTTCGGCACATTGACAATTTTTGTTTTATCTTCAAAAAAGATTTTTAAAGATGGTATACAAAAATAAAAACACCAAGAGGTAAGTTCAGTTTAAGTGAATTAAATGTTAGTGAAAGTATTCTTTGGATGAATCGCGCTCGAACAATAGTGATACTCATTATACCAGTGCAATATATACGAAGCAATCGATCAAGCTGAGCAAACAATTAAAGTAACATGTTGTAAACAGGGATAATTTTTCAAGGATATAGAATTTATTTTGAAACCCCATAACATAACCCCTATCATTGACTTGTACACTTTTTCCATCAATCAAAAACGTTAGTTGAGCCGGCCAATCGAATGTCTGTTGTCGGACTCATAAAGGTAGTGAATTTGGTAAGGGATTATTTGTTCCAATCAGCATTGTTGTAATCCTTGTCTCTTTCAAATAGTGAAACTGATATGATTAGCAGCAAAATGTTCGGTGGTGTAGAATTCTGGAAGGTGGAATTCTTGAGACAACTGTGAGCTTATAAGAATACGACTCTATCATTTCATAATACAAGACAGCCATCAAAATTCAGATGATTTTTATGTTATATATATCACCTTCACAGACCAACAACTCAAGCGACACGAAGGTTTGTTCCGAAGTGAATTCATCATCGACTAATCTAGACAGTTTCTTGGTAGTGGTAATGAGTCATATATATTTTCTCGGGTGATAGAAGGCTTTTATGCAGTATCAAGATGGTTGGTGAGACATGAATTATTGCGTATCACTTATGAGAAAGGTCCTAGCTTTTGTCGTTTGACACACTGGCAGAAAAGTAAGATTTGTCCTTTATTAATGTCCGGAATTGCAGCTTTTGTCGTCATCACGTTTTTGCATGAAAATTACAGAAAGCAAATAATCGCCCAAGAAGCTTCCGATATGCGACAACGTTTATTTAGACGATCAAAATTTCTAGGTCAGTCTAACCTTGATTATTACCGCTGCTTAGTAAATGATTGTAAGGCGTTAGCTGTCCATATCATTGAGCTTGGAGGTGTAGCTGAGGTGCATCGTGAAGTGAACGGTTGTTTGGAATGCTGCACTTTCTACAGTATATAAGAAAATATAAAATATATTGAGGTTATCATATGCTGGGATGAAGTAGTCGTCCAGTTTGTGCAGATCTATTTGTTTACCTATTCGGCTAACAGTTACTCACTTCTGCATACGGATCGCTCCTGTTTTATGTCCAGTTGTCTACACTGTCATATCTGGTGTGCGGTGTCCCTTATGTACGGGTCGATTCTGTTGAGTCCGCAGTCTCACTGCCTGTGCCTGATAATCGGGAACTATCGTAATGCCCATGACACAAAAATAACACGAAATACTGGTTCAATAAAGATTTATCGACTTTCAAAAACAAGTCCCAAAATCACATTCCCCTAAAGTCCTGTCGTTGCTAGGCCGAAATGCAACCAGTTACATACTGACTTTTACACACACTTTATAATAACGCACATAAGGGGAAATACATATGCTCACTGCAGAAACACACATTAAATATAATTCACGTGAGTTGATACAGGGAATATAATTATCACAATGAACAAAGGTTCTCACTTTTCAGATTGAACGAAGTTTACTGTGAATTGATATGAGAACATTTTGACCTCGAAACATCACAATGAATAAAACTCGTAACTGAAATTTATAATGAATTGATACAAAAATTATTGACCTTAATCATGTCATCATTCTATTCCTTCATATTTGTAACCTAAATTACATTTTTCCAAAGTTTCAAATTAAAAGCAAGCAAAAACTACTAAAACCATTGAGTTGACAGTAATCCACTTAAATATAAGCTAGAGGTATGTGAAGCTCTACACTAATCCGACTATCGATTCATTCAAATAAAGACTTAAGAAGTTGGCTAAAGCTAATGCTTCCAGTAATGAATTTAATAAGTTTGAGTGTATGATATCTTACCAACGGCAACGGACGAAAATGACATATAACTGTGAAAAGATTGGACTTGAAAATGTAAACCATCCTGCATCAACACAGTAGGCGGAAGATAAAGTACTCGCTACGAGGTTTGGAGATCTTACACTTGATCCTTAGTAAGACAGTGAACACTTATTGTTAAGGAGTCTCATACTATAATAAGATCTTTCAAGCATCATTCAACTAGTCGAAGACGTGTAATAAAGATCCGATGTCTAAAATACTTTGAATTTGAAGTCATTACAAGAAAAGCAAAAGAATCCCCATAAAAATCGACCTTAGAATTCAACATTCATTTGATTATTCGAATTTGTTCATCTAGTTAAAGAAAAATAAATTTTGATTATAATGAATTAACATTAATAAAGCGTAAACATATCTCAACAACAACAACAACAACATTATTCGTATCAATTACAAGTGATTACAGCTTATCAGATCAATGTCTATAAACGATGTCATAAAATATAAAAAAATTATCTCATTTAGTTCGATTCTACTTTTTTTTCTTGTTCAATGTCCAAATTTTCATTGCGTTTACCCGTGATTTAGTATCACCGGATATAATGAATACAAACTATCTTGTAAAATGGCGTTTATGAAATGATTTAACTGTGAGAAAACTGACACGAAAAATTAACATTATTATTAATCGATATGTAATTAAAATTAAAAGCTAGTTATTATTGAATCATTGCATGGAATAAAAGGTAACTTGGAATTAAAATTACTGCTTTTTTATTTCGGAGAACATGAAAGGCTTCCCTCAAGCTGGTGATTTCCTAGTTGACGTCTCTCTGATCAGTGGCTTATTGGTTGGCTAGATCAACTTAGTAGCATATTTCAGAATACACCGAATGACATAGAACCATGCCTATCGTAAGACTTTGTTTGCCTTCCAATTGTCAACCTATGGTTTGGAGTAGATAACTTTGTATATTTCACTCTTTTGTGATTATTATAATTTTCTATCCATCTATTTAGTAGACAGTATAAGCAGATTAGGATAAGTGCGAGTTGCTCTGTCGGGATTGCTAATAACCAACATATCGTAACATTTCTCTCGTTATGTTAAGATGTGTGGTTAAATTCTTGCAAAGTGATAATACAACTTATTCACATTATTTATTCTCATAGGGAGGGATATATCATTTCATTTATTATGTTCTTAATGTATACAAAATCAGTTTACTTAGAAGAATGCTGATGGGTAAAATCGTAGGCAAAATATTTGGTTAAAGAGTTTGAGATGTTATTCACAATTGTTTAATGCTGAAATTGAACATCCTTGTGTACATTTCTCTTATGAAATGTTCAACACATAAATAACTAGAGCTGTAAAATATTATTCTGAACCATAAAATAACTAGTATACTCTGGAAGTTCCTCAATGTATATTGAAAGCCTAGCACTCAGGTCAATCAGCAGTCGACCGACACATCGAGAGTGAGCTATTTTATCAACCAGTCAGAAAAATCATGAGTAAATATATGATCAAGGATCGGGTTATAGGAAGAAATAATCAAAATAAATATGTCGATAATCACAGGTTAGATGTCAACAACAACCAATCGTGATCAAGGTTAACAGCACAAGCTGGTATTCACATGTGGAGAAACTCAGAGACATCACATGTACCTGAAGTTTATGCTGATGATGTTAATCAGAGGACTGATAAAAGCTTAATGATAAAACCAGATAGAAGAACGAAGCAACACCAAAATATGCAATTGATACTGCCATAGTACATTGTAGATAAACATAATATTTACGTTACTTCTTTCTAGAGAATATATCGATCTGTAGAATAATATTCGGAACTACATTTATTAGGTATATATAACAACCGTCGTCGCTATATTTTTTTAACGTGTCTTGAAAGTATCATCTCCAGAACAGTTCATTTACCTGGAGCTGCGTGAACTCACCGACTGACACTAAGAGATCTCTGTAAACAGTATGCTGAAATATCTCAATTTAAAGGGTCCCTAAAACTTATTATTAGAAATTTCTGCAACTCAAATAGATTGAATAATCGACGTAATTCTTTAATTAAGGTTGTACTATTATTGTGAGCATATTTAGTTTAAAATATACTCTAGTACAAAAAATATCAATATTATCTTATTATTTTGTTAAGCAGGAATACTATCCATCAACACAACAATTCCATTGTATATTTTCCATAATTTCCTCTTATTTCAATAATTTTAATCTCATGTTGGCCATCTATTTAAATGAATCATCATCATTATCAGTTATTCTTCAACTGAACTTTTAAAATTGGACTAATGTATTCGCAACCAATGATGCGAAAACTAAATAAACAAAAGAAGAGATGGTGGAGAAGATTTGTAGCTCAGGTGGAAAAAACAAAGGAAGAAAAAACAACTACTATTTAATTAACCGCTTTCTTATCAAAGAGCTTATCTCTTTACAGTTTTATTGATATCATGAGTCACTATGAATAAAAGCAAAATAAAATATTTGTACACATATTATAATAAACAGTTTATAAGGTCACAGGTAAGTTACTAACTTTGATGCTGATTAAATTATACAAGGTATTATTTGTTTACTTACCAATCAAACAATTCTTTAGTTGATTCATTTTTGTATTGTTTGTTTAAATCTTACTTGATTAAAGATAAAAATTTCAATAGTGAATACAAAGTATACAGGTAATTTATCTTGAAATATGTCAATCAATCATTTGTGTGATGAATATATTGTCTACTGTAGTATTTATTTATTCTGAATTAGTCACAAAAAATATAATTTTCTACTAATTGGATTAAGAAAACAAAATATATTTATTACTGTTGGAGTATGTGGTTTGTTTGAGTATATTTGAGACAACTGAGATAAAGCTCAGGTGATTTTGCATAGATTTCTCATTGATAAGCAAATATTAAACCAACTTAGAAATAATGAACGTTTATATCTGCCTTAACTATTACTTACCTACTTACACTTGTTACTCTCAATGGAGCAAAGGCCGCCGACCAGCATTCTCTAACCCACTCTGTCCTGGGCATGCCTTTCCAGTTCTATCCAATTTCTGTTCATTTTTTTCATATCTATTTCCATTTCCCGGCGTAATGTATTCTTTGGTCCCCCTCTTCTCCATTGGCCTTGAGGATTTCAAGTGAGGGCTTATCTTGTGACACAGTTCGATGCTTTTCTCAATGTGTGTCCTATCCGCTTCCAGCGCTTCTTCCTGATTTCTTCCTCCGCTGGGATCTGGTATGTTCTCTCCCACAGTACGTTGTTGCTAATAGTGTCCGGTCAATGGATCTGAAGTATTTTGCGTAGACAACTGTTAATAAACACCTGTATCTTCTGAATGATGGCTTTCGTAGTTCTCCAAGTTTCCGCCTAATGCAGTAGAATTATCTTGGTATTTATATTTAAAGTTCTGACCCTGATGTTGGTTGACAGTTGTTTTCAGTTCCAGATGTTCTTCCATTGTAAGTATGCTGTTCTTGTTTTGCCGATCCGCGCCTTTACATCTGCATCAGATCCACCGTGTTCATCAATGATGCCACCCAAATATGTAAAGGTTTTTACATCTTCCAAATCTTCTCCGTCAAGTGTGATTCGATTGTTGCATGTTGTGTTGTATCGGAGAATCTTGCTTCTCCTTTTGTGTATGTTGAGTCCTACTGCTGCTGAGGCTGCTTTACCTATACATTACATAAATATAATGGATGATTGAATTAAAACAAAATTTGTTGAGTTTTACTGGAATTAGTTAACTTTAACTGATAAATTACTAACGAGAATTTTACTGATTGATTTGGAAGTTTATGTTGATTAGTCGCTGTTCACAGTTAAACTCTTTCATCGACATTTCAGACACTAGCTATAATGATATGTGAAAAAGTCTTTGAATTCAAGTGGATAAAACTCTAAGCTACTAAGCAAACATTTAATGTCATTCCTGGTAAAATAATCTATTCATAGTGTTGTTATATTATTTGTCAAGGCAATGTATGGATATAAACAAAATGCATGAAAATACTTCATACACACACACACACAATACAAATATACATCAGGCTATCGACAGTGGTTTAGAAAAAATCAAATCACTCATTTCTTGTACAACAATACAGATGCAATCACTATCCGATCATGGTTTAAGCCAAACAAATATGAAACTAATAATAACTGGACAGACTAGTGAGAATGATTAATACTTTTTGACTCTGAACGTAAATAAAAATTGGAATAAAAGAGTAATCTGACATCACCAAACATCCCACAGATATAATAGATGAATTGTTAGAAAAAAAACTAGTTTATGAGCATATTTTGCCTAGCAACAAAGCTTCATAGCTAAGTGGGAGTTGTTTATTTACATACTACATTTTTGTTTAATGAATGTTTTATGAGATCACAGTTATGTTCTAGACAGATGTGTATGATCAGAACATCCTTTAAATGTACTTGAACGAATCGACTATTGTCAAAAATCAATTAATAACTACGCTTAGGAACATAAATGACCAATAAACTATCATGAAGGTTAAAAGTGATAAAAGTGTTAGCTGAAATCTGACTGATGGGAGGGCTTATTCTAAAAGATTGTCTCAGGAAGTAATTCATTATTTACAACGTGGTAGGAATGGTAATCATTTTTGTTTTCTTGAACTGCTCATTGATGAGTAGAAGGATATCAAATGAATTTGAAACATTTATTAACAACTTTTTGTCAACACTGATTAGTCTAGACTGATATGATGAATACATCAAATAAAGAGGCGATTATTTAATGTTAGGATTATTTCTGAATTATGAAAAATTTACTAACCCGTACTAGTCGAATGACTCATTAGAGAATAGAAATAAAAACTATAAATCATCAATAATTCAGTCATTTTAAGGTATAATCTACAAACTAGAGAAATAATTTGACTTTCAGTAAATATTTGTATAAATAAACAAGGTTGTAGAAAAAAACGAGTTCCACTTTTAAGATGAAACCTAATGTATATACTCAAGTAAGGTGAAGTTGTCTAGAATCAGAAGTCATAATTAATATTTGCTCAGGAACAGTGATATCACACAATAACCTTAGTATATCTGAAACACAATTCGTTATCATTCCTTTAAAAGTTGAAAAAAAAGTTATTTAATTTTCTTCCTAATCAAAAAAGTAATAACTTCAACATGTCAGTAGGTTCTGGGCTGCAACAATCATCACCAAAACCAATGCATCTTTATCGAAACACTGGACGAGATTCAACAAAGGAAAAACAAGAAGACAGCAATTAACAACAGCTGAACAAGAACACACAAAGTCAAGGTACAAGCTGGATACACAGAAACAAACAAGAGATTGAAAAGAAGCATTAGAACCGACAAGCAGAAATACGTGGAAGAGAAGGTGCAAAAAGCTGCAAGAGGAAGAAATAAAAAACAACTATATGACATTATGGAGAAACTGGTTGGAGAATATAGAAAACCAGAGACCGGTTAATGACAAAGAAGGCAAACTCATCACTGACATTCAAAAACAACAGAATGAGTGGGTGGAAAACTTTGAGGAAATCTTGAATAAACCAGCTCCATTGAATCCACCGGATATCGAAGCAGCCCCTACAGACTTTCCTATCAATGTCACTCCACCAACGATCGAGGGAATCGGGATGGCCATCAGCAGATCAAGAGTGGGAAAGCAGTAGGACCTGAAAATATGCCAGCTGAAGCACTAAAGTCACAGTCAAAAATAACTGCAAATATGCACCATATCCTATTTATGAAGAATTGGGAGGAAGAAAAAGTGGCACCGACAGACTGGGAAGAAAGATATCTCATCAAGTGACCAAAGAAAAGAGATCTGAGAAGGTGTGAAAGATACAGAGACATAACACTACTGTCAGAACCAGGGAACGCTTGTAAAAGTGTTGCTGAACCGGATGAAAGATTCAGTAGACGACCCGCTACGAGACCAACAGGACGGATTTCATAAGGACCGGTTGTACACAGACCGAATCGCGACACTACGGATCATCGTTGAACAAACAGTTGAATGGAACTCGTCATTATACATCAACTCTCTTGACTATGAGAAAGTGTTTGACAGTATGGATAGAATATTATGGAAACTTCTTAGACACTATGGTGTATGTGAAAACTTCGTCAGCATCATCTGAAATTCATACGAAGGCCTACACTGCAAATCCGTGTGAGGACCGGGGTCATTTTTCGTCCTTCTAGTGGTTGATTGGATTATGAATACCTTCATAAATGATGGGGAACACCGAATACAGCTCGTAATCAACTAGACGATTTGGACTTCACAGATAACCTAGCTCTTCTATACCATACACGCCAACAAATTAAGATGAAGACAACTAATGTAGTAACATACAAGGGAAAAAACAAGATTCTCAAATACAACACAGAGCGTCAACACAATCACACTTGATGGGAAAGTTCTGGAAGAGGTGGAAACTTTCACGTACCTGGGCAAACTCATCGATAAACAAGGAGGATCTGATGGAGATTTGAATGGGTGGTCTATGTTACTTCATGAAAGGTAACAGGTAACAGTAATTAATTAATCTCTGGTGCGTCACTTTATACTTAAAAACTTGGATTTAGTAAATTATTGTTGTAATAAAAATTATTTAACTGAACAATAAAAAAACTCCAGTTGGATGTTTTGTTATTTCCGGTAAAATTATTTTCTGTATTTACAACAGTAATTCTGATTATAGGACAAATTATTGATTGGCGTGAACACAAATAATTTCGATATACATATCATACAAAAAAATTATCTGCGATGAGAAATGGCCTCACATCTCAAACAGTTTATCTCCACTGTTTACATCTTCTGACTAGAATTCCAAAAATTTCTTCTCAAAGTTAGCCACTAGTGAGTACATGATAGTTGTCAGTTAATGGCCGTGAAAGTTGTTGAATTTGACTACAAATGTTGTATAACACTCATATGATGCATATTATTTAACAGTGAAAGCAATCATCTCATGTTGTCATTTATTATGATCAATTTAAAATATGGATTAATTTGTCAAATTGACAATTAGTGAAGTAGATATTTTCCGGAATTATTATACTAGTGTTAGCTATAAGTTGGAAGAGGAGATGTGTATATTTTCCCTCTACACACTTGATGATAACCGCATGATAAAAATGTTGTTTATAAAACTGTTAATTTTGTTATTATCACTGTTCAGTGGAGAAATCATGTGAGTTGTTTGTTGTAGTGATTGAAATTTACTTCGAGCATCAGTCAATATAATTCTCGTTACTTGTGTTCTCTATTCAGCTTCCCAGCGGAGATTGATTGATTTCATTCATCAGATCCACAATCCCATGCTTGTATTTC